TTATTATACATGAGATCTTATTATACATGAGATCTTATTATACATGAATAAATACGGTAATTATTTTTGATACAATATAGTCATTTCTGCAGTTTTTGGGGAGGTCACCTCCTAATAAATGTCCTTACAGAAAATCTAACTGCTCATTTTAAGGCAATTCTTCTTCTTTTAATACTTAAGTACAAAAAATATCAGATACTTTAAGACTTTTACTCAAGTAATATTCCTAAAGGAGACTAACATTTACCAAAGTAATTTTTTGATAAGATACTTGTACTTTTACTCAAGTATCACTTTGTAGTACTTTATAGAACACTGCTTTACCCCCTCTGAAGTGGCTCCTTATCATGTGGGGCAGATGTGGGTTCCTTAGCTTCTCCRTCCGGTGTTCTGCAGGTCTGGGGAATCAAACTTGCAACCCCCTGATCACAAGCTTCCCTGTTGTAACTTCTGCACCATCACTTGTGAATTTAGCTTTCAGCTGATGTCTTTTCTTAATTTTGTCTTTTGATTTAATTTGATAAACGTGTTCCTCCAGCAGGTTTTCAGCAAACAGTACGTGTTTTTGACCCTGACATTAATGATGACCAGCAGCCAGATACAGTCTGTATTTATTGTTTCTGCAGCTGTCAGTAAATCTGCTCTGTTCTGTTGTCGGTCTGCACCGAGGTCTTTCCTCAGACGGCAGCGGTGAAGTTTCTGTTTCCTAGCAACCCTGAGTCCAGCATTTCCATTTGTGTTACAAAGAGACTGTGGACATCAGTAAGAAGAAGGGGATCTCCCAGCCTGCCACTGTCTTTTAAATCAGTCACATACGATGCCTTATAGGCAAGTGTTGCTTTCTAAGTCCTTTTTCTGAATTGAAAATGATTCATGATTTGCAGACGATGGTCAAACCTTCAAACATCTTGATTCTGGTTGTTGTTAAGAGGGAAATATCTTCAGTCAGAAACAGTTTCAGTGTTACMTCTCCTCCTGGTCCCTGATGTAAGCACTGATGACTGTTCTCACAGCCGAGTGTGAAAAGAAAATGTCAATGTCCTTCCGTTAACGTCAGTAACAGGATCAGCTGCTGTTGTCCCTTCAGCTTTCCTCAGCCTGGCTTTCATATATCTTATTATGAGTGGTGGGCAGCGCTAATCCAAAAATTAGCTCCGCAATTTCTAAAGCGCTTATGAAAATATTTAGGTCCGCAACTTGAAAAGCACTTATGCCATAGAAAACTATTGAAGGCTTATTTTAAAGTACAAGTTCAGTTTGACACTTACTAGCTGACAATGATTCATGTACAATATATGTACAACACTGCCAGCTAGTGGAGTATGAACCTTTTTACAACTTAATCCTACAACCACTGATTGCTGGGGATGTGATTTCCTGAAACAGACCTTTAGCTCCTGGTGTAAAAATTTAAAAGTTGTTGAGGATTGTTAGTTCGGCTGCTTCTTTGTCTGTTTCTTTTGTTTGTTGTAGATTTTTCATTAAAGAAGCATCAATAAAGTAATTTTAAAACTGTTTATTGGAAAACTGAAGCGATGCATTCTGGGTACATGACGGATTTGATTTGTGACGAGAAATGATAGCACAGAGTACAGTAAATTATCTTCACTTCAAAATAAGAGCATGGATTTTAAAGTTTTCCATGTAGTTGCTCCAAATGACCACTAGATGTCAGTCTTCATCAGCATAACATCTTTAAATCATTTCTCCGTTCAGCTAAACTTGTTGGCCGATTGCTTCGACCAATTACGTCAAGCCTTGAGCTCCAACGTTTAAACTTTTTTTTAAATGAGCTCCGATTGTAAAGTAAAATAAATCAATACATACAAAATTTTAGTATGGATTACAAACGTTTACTGTTTTTGCTATTGCCTTCCTGCTATGTAAGCAGACACGAAGCATTGTGGGAAATGAGAACCGTGACCCAAAGCAACAGTCAGCAGGATGTATACCTTCACAATAAGTGTGTTTATCTGGGAGGGGTGCTGTTGTAGAGTTCATGTGTTGTGAGTCATTGACAGTCATACCTTCTGCTGTTCAAGAAAATGATGACTGGTAGATAATTAGTTGTTAGTGGTACTGTATTTTAATTTTAGAAATTGCAAATATGCTTATGAATTATAAAAATTAGTAAGGCTGCTAAAGTGCAAACAAAATTTTTATGTCCGCAATTAGCGGATTTGCACTTTAGTGGACTTGTGCTCACCATTGCTTATTATTTTTATTTGAAATCACTGAAGCAAACCTGCCAATAATTATGATTCTATTATTACCGTGTTCCTCTCGGTTCTTATCATGAACAGCTTTAAGTCTGTTTAGCAGCATCCATCTCTTTCTGCAGATTTACTCTGGTTTTATTGAATCAGTGCTCTTTACATCCCCTCACGTTTCTCTTCCTCAGCATTTAGTCCAAACACTTTATTTTACCATCATTTGTATTCACATTAATTAGCTCTGAATGGAGAGGAAGAAAAGGCTTAATAAATATTTTTCATCTCTGCAGGTGGTTCGGGATCAGATCTCCCACTGCACCGTGAAGCTGCGCCAGACCACCGGACTCATGGAGTACTGTCTGGAGGTCATTAAGGAGAATGACCCCAGTGGTTTCCTACAGGTAAGAAGGCAGAATGAAGCCATGTTTACAAAGCTGCAGAAGTCTTTTCCCCCAAATCCAAAGGAGAAAATGTTTGACTTTGTATCTTAAAGTAGCCTGGCCTCCTTCTATCACAGTTCAGTTTGATTCTAACCTCCCTTCTCTGCTCAAGTCTGGGTTTTCTCATATAGAAAAGTATTTCTCAGGCAGTATTTAAACCTGGCCAATCAGCAAGCAGAGGGAGGAGGAGTTGTGAACCTTTGTTTTTTTTTTTTTGTTTTTTTTTGTTTGTTTGTTTGTTTGTTTTAGTCAGCCTGTAGTTTAAGAATGGCAGCAGAGGAAGTGAATAAAGTCATTCAGTCCATGTGAGGCTTCCAAATTAAATTAAATTAGTCTCACAAAGCCTGCAGCATCATTTACAGCTGTCTCATTCAGCCCAGTACTTCTCTCTTCCCAGTAGAGGATGGTTGTTTACAGCAGTGGTTCCCAAACTTTTTGTCTTCTGACCCAAAATATCCATGGCAAAAACTTGTGACCCCAAATATTACTGGTCTGAGCACGGACTCTGTTAATAACCCTAAAACACAGGCTTTTTGACAATCTAAATGGCTTGTACACACATACAAATACTTATTTTTACTTATTTTGTGTTTTTGTAATAATTATAGGAAAAATATTACATCAGCAATTATTTTATTACCCTTTAAATTGATTTCTGGAGATTATCCAAGGTGCTTCATGACCCATAATTGGGTCCCAAGCCCAACTTTGGGAACCAAAGTGCAGTGGTTCCCAAACTTTTCAGTTTTTGACCCACAAAATAACAGTGGCAGAGACCTGAGCCCCCAACTATTTTTGGATGATAAACATTTGTACCAAGTCAACAAAACATGGGCATAGTAACAATATTTTTATACTACATTTATCCATTTTAAATACACTAACCTCACTCCTTTGTAACAACTAAGGCAAAAATGTAATTAATTCAGAAAATATTTCAGGACCCTACCTTGATGTTTCGGGACCCCACTTTGGGTCCCGACCCCAACTTTGGGAAACACTGGTTTACAGCACACACAATTTTCAGTTAGCTTCTTAGCTTAGCTTCACGGTCCAGCTGGAGCACTGCATATGTCACGGTTAGCGATTGGGTAAGATCAGTTCCAGTTGTTTAAAACTTCAACAGAGTCCAGACCCTTTGTAGGGTCTGGTTTTTAACATACTAACCTTAAAGCAGGGGGGTCAAACTCATTTTCACTGAGGACCACATGAGTGTTATGGTGGCCCTGAAGGGCCACTTGTAATGAACTTCGACATTTCATGTTTCACTTTGACTAAACAGAGTTTTAACACGTCCTCTTTTAAACACTGATAAGAACTAAGTGTATGACTGACTAAATCTGTAATAAATACAGAAATGATTTTAAAAATAAAACTAATAAAGTTTTACTCACTGATGAGTTTATAGTTTGTAGCTAGTACGCAATATGGCAGATTTAGTTTGATGCTGATTTTAAAGTAGGGTGACCAGATTTCTGACAGTAAATCTGGGGACATTTTCAGCTCAGAGACAAAAAAAATGCTAAATGTTATGAAGATGATATGAAGAACAGTTATGGCCATTCAACATCTTCTTGTTAAAACCTCAAATCTAAAAAAAAACTGGTAAATTGTGTACCTCTTTAATAACAGAATGTAATAATTTGCAAATCTCGTGAACTTTTGTTTTATTCACAACAGTGTTGTTTTCATTAACGATGACAAAGTATTTTCATTGACGCCCCCTTTTTTCATGTCGATAACGAGACGGTAACGAAATAAACTCTTCGATGACTAAGACGTGACGAAATGTGTTTGAGTTTTCGTTGACGAGACTGGACGAAAATGTTAGTCGGTGGTCTGTCAATCATTTAGAATGCAGAGTGGAGGGAGGGACAGCAGCGCAGAACTGTTCCTCCTAGTGATGTTCGATACTGACAATTTTCTTTCCGATACTGATACCAAATAAAATGTGTCTGGTATCGACGATACTGATCCGATACTGATACTTTGTGACAACACACATAATATGTCTGGTAATTCTTAAAAAGTAGCATTTTTCAAATAACCGCTTTATAAATAATACATAACAGAGTAATTTATTTAATTAAGTCTTTCTAGCCCAGACCTTATATTTGTTTAGCACAATTTAAAATTCTTATTCTAAAGAAATATAACACTTTTTGACTAGTGAATAAAAGTGAGAAAAACATTTAAAAAATTGTTACATCGTTATTTTGTAGCATGGTTTGTGGGTTTGCAAGAAGGTCCTTGGCCAGAGCTAATGCTGTTTTGGCGGGCCATAGCATGAAAAAGTTTGGGAACCCCTCATCTAGAATGTAACAACAATCAAACAAAGCAGATTTTATGTTAAAATGACCTGCCATACATCTACAGACTGAGTGACTGACTAATGGCTTCTGCATTACTCAAGCGGAAGAAAATGTAGTTCTCTCCAACCACATATGATCAAGAAAAATGTGGAATAGCTTAGTTATTTTCCATTATTTTAATGATATACATTATGTGAAATAACTAAAATATCAAAGTATCGATATTTTGATTTTAGTATCGATTCTAGAGCATGAAGTTCTGGTATCAGTAGTGTCGATATTTCGGTATCGATCTGCACATCACTAGTTCCTCCTCTCATTCAGTAAAGGAAAACAAACAGCCTGTGCCGCTTCGCAAAAATAAAGTCCGTCTGTCACCTGTAGCTTAAAGAGTAACTTACYCCAAAATTAAATTTTTTAGCTGATAAACTGTCTAGAATGTGTCTAAAATGTTATATAGTACTGTTTCTGCGCTAATTTTGATGTTTTTGTGTGTATTTGTTCAAATCTGTAACATTTGGTMTAAAAACGTGTTTTTGCTGCTCATATAGGTAGAGCAGTGGTACTGCAGGCTAATTTGCATATTGGTTAACGGCTCTCCACGGTGACGTGCTTCTCCACGGTTTCGTCACAGTGGCTGTGTTCTGGTCTAAAAGCCTCTCTCTAATGGTGCGTTCACACCGAACGCG